AGACTTAACCCAGCCGTCCAGGAAGCAGTTTCCCTACTTAACACGTCCTTCTCAGTTGCCATGAAATGCTTCTCCTCGTTCTTCCTGCCTCTATGATGGCCACGCTCAGTGATGACAGCAGAAAATGAGATGGACGGTCTTGTTTTCTTTAAATATGATCAAGGCCCTCTTTGACCCTTGTCAAGAGTCTAGTCAGCAGTAATCAACTTGTACATTTACAGCACATTTTCTTTCTTCTTTTTTTAAATCCTCACAGAAGATATGTTTATTAATTTTAGAGAGAAAGGAAGGGAAGAGAGAGAGAGGAACATTGATATGAGAAACACCCATTGGTTGCCTCCGTGCGCACCCCTACCGGGGATCAGATCCAAAACCTGGGTATGTGCCGGGACCAGCAATCGGACCTGCAGCCTTTTGGTGTGTGGGAAGAGAACCACCGGGCTGGGGCCAGGACACATTTTCTTTAAAGATGTTCTTGAAGTCAGGAAGTACGGGGCCCTGCTCTGTGCCCGAGACCCATTGCCTGGGATGAAGGCTGTGAGCTGCAGAGGCTGCTCTGATGATGGCATTAAGTTTTTCTCCCTTTGTTTCCCGATGATGCCATTTATAACTGCCTGCTCTTGGGTTCTTATTTTCCCTCAACTGTTCATTCGGCCTCATCCTTGTGGCAACTTGAAGTGCTCAGAGCTGTCCCTGTCCATTTTACAGGCGGTGTAAGGAGATGGGTTCCATTTCTTTTGCAATCGTCCTGAGGTTACAGTGAGGACCGGTGGATGGAAGTGCCGTAAGGGAAGTGGTTTGTGAGTGAGCATAAGAACGCCCACAGAATTAGTGCTCTCTCACATTGCAGCACAGCGTGGAGATCCCTGTCGCCGAAGCTCATTGTCACGGGCAGTTAGTTTTGGGGATGTTGTAGAAGATTGTGTTGGGTAGAGGGTCGGACTGGAGAAAGTTTTAAGTTTTCGTCCAATTCAGAGGTTCTGTGCAGTTCTAGGCCTGGACTTGTTAGCATGTGGGATGTGAAATAGAATAGATAGATGTCCACCTTTATTTCCCCCCTTGCTTCAGATAACTGATCTCACAGGTAAGTCCTCCTGCTTTTTCTTTTCTTTTCAACCCCTCCAACCCCCTCCCAGTGAGGACCTCTTTTTTTAAATGCTTGTGTCTTTGAGGGTCAGATGCTGAAGAGTCGTTGCTCTTAATAATACATTTCTTCACACCTTGACCTGAAGCAAGATCCTAGAACTGAGTCGAGTGAATAGACTTTGGGGTCTATTTTTGCTAGCATGGTCCTGATAACACCTTCCAGAAGTAGGTGACTGACTAACCACTAACACCTAGCCTTTTCTTACTTAGTAGTTCACTGTTTTGGACCTAAATATCTTATGGAGATTTTGACTTTGCGTTGATGGGCCACACATAATGTTCACTGTCCTCAAGGATGTGAAGGACAAGCTTGTCTTGAACGCTCACTACAACCCCTCATTTTGACAGGCGACAGGTTCTCTTGTTAAAACTTCCCACCTAACAGGAACTGGCAATTGCAGCAGTAGACTTGGAAACCAGGTTTTATCAAAGGGAGCCCAGGGGCAGGGTGACCTTGTAGGCTAGCATTCAGTGGCGAGAGCTAGAAAGCAAGAGGAGTACTTAGTTGCCTGAGGAACTTCAGGGAGTGACTGCACCCACCCTCTACGGTGCTTAAATCCCTACTTAACATCTCTGAGAAGGGTTTCTGCTTGGACTTTGCCAGGGATTGGAAACGTGCTGTCTCCCGGAGTGAACCATTCCATCTCAGCAACTCCTTTTGAGAGGAGGTTCTTCCTTATATCTAGCCAAACACCTGCCCCCTTTACATTCCACCTACTGGTTGTATTTCTGACTGGCCTTCAAGGCCCCAAAGAACAAGTCTTATCCATAGGACAGCTTCTAATGGCAGTTTTTATGCCTCCCACGTTGCTAGTCCTCCAGGTTGAACCTTCTCTGTGTTTCCAACCATTCATTCCTCACTGAGTTGGCTTCCATTCCTATCCTGCTGCTGACCCCTGGCTGCACCACAGTTTGCCATTGTTGCCTTTTATAGTTTGCTACCTGAAATACCATGCATGGTAAAACTGAACAGTGCTATATATAGCATCTACATGGGGTTTCCTAGTGCAACCTAGAATTACATTGCCTTATTATTATATCACTGACTTCTGTGAAGCTTATCAACTAAAAGATAAGTAGCAGTTTTTTCCCCCTTTTCAACATTCACACAATTGCCAAGCCACATCTCCCACATCCCGCCGTTGTTGCTTGGACTTTAGATCTGTACAAGTCACCCTCTTTTTGAGCAGCTTCTTAACAATAATCTGCGGTGGGTGGGTAACTGCAGTTTTTATACACAATATGAAAAGTCACCTTTACAGAGTTTGAAATGTGCATCTGTACCAAGTAAGCAACAGAATGGTTTCTTGGTTGATGGGGAAGGATTGGGGAACCCGATGGAGAAGGTTTGTATACTGTCTCTTCTCCCTCAGTAACATGCAGGATTCGCTTGGAAAGCCTTGTTCCTCAGACACTTTTAGTATATTGGAGGAGACTGGAAATTAGCTGTTGTTTGCGTAAATAATTAGACTAGTTGATTCCTACGATATTAGAACTAGAGAGTTACTGAGAGAGATTTTAGTTCACCCCTTCCCCTTTTTGCATATTTGGAAAAAAGACCACAGACATAAAGAGAATTATTCCAAATTACTAATCAAGTTGGTGATAGAGGCAGGGTTAGAACCCAGGTCTTGTAAATTACATAGAAACTAGCTTATTTACTTTTGCCTGAATAGTAGCTTTCAACTACTTCATAATTCCTTCCCCCCCCCCCCCCACCCCTTTATGAGCTTAACTGCCCCAGAGCTAGATGACTTTCTTGAATTCTTCCAGCCTGTGAATGAAGGACATCCTCTTACATACTTGGCAAAGTTGCTCTGGTGGTGAAGCGAGGCACGATGCTCTCTGGGACTTCCAAGCCCTTTACTGGCTTTCTACCAAGCACTTTCCTTGTGAGATTACATGGGATCCCATCTCCATGTAATTACAGTTGGTGGGAAAAATGAGGCCACCCTGGATCACTCAGGTGCCGGGGTGGGGATAGTCTTCTGAAAAGTCTCCTGGAACTGGACCTGTGGGAGCACTCTTCACAGAGCTATCCTTTGGCAGCTAGTGTTGGGCGTCAGGTGGAAGGCATGTTGTGATGGCCATCCTAGGTCCTGTGTCTGAGATAGCACATCAGGCTCAGGGTGAGCATCCAGCCACATGCTGGGGGGAACCCCTTATCGGCAGGCAGTTGTGCCAGTCTGCAAAGCGTCAGAAGGATTTTTATTTGTAATTTTAATATCCATGTACCTTTCTTTTATCACTTGATCGCAATTCTTGGAGGGCAGGAAGTTGAATCTTTTTCAATATAATATTCCCTTACTGCAACTGGCACTGTATTCAGTAGGTGTTTTCAGATTCAGGCAGAGTATCAGGAGATAGGTTTACTGCTTTGCTGCTACCTGGCTGTAGCAGAGCAGGCCCCTTCATCTTTTTGGGGGGTGGGGGGGTTGATTCTTCATCTGTAAAATGAGCAGTTGGAGTGACCTCTGAAGGCTCTTTTAACAACAGTCTCTAGGATTCTAGAGTCTATATGACTCTCAAAATGTATCCTCATTATGTATCTTAGAGAAGTCATTGTTCTCTTTTCGGTGGTAGCATTACTGGGAAAGTCCACCCAGGGAACACCACCCTCACCATCCTTTCCCAGCACAACAGGAAGGATTTCTTCTTTCACCATCTTTAAAAAATTGGCAAATCTGTAAAATAAAAAGGAAGAAGCATTGTGGAGGGCAGCTACTGAGACAAAGGCCAGTGGTGAGCACCTCTCATGCTCCTGGTTTTCTTCTGTGCTGCTTTTAGCTGCCATTTCTTAGTATTCAGGTTTGGTTGCAAGCAAAGAGGCCTAGGTTCAGGGGATGAGAGTCACTGATGACTTCCAAAGAGTATAGGATATTCCAGAGGTCGTGGCAAAGAGAAAGAGAAAGTCATTTGTGGCTCTGGGATCTGGTGAGTTGGAGCAGAACTGGATGATCTGGAGGGCATTTTTTGAATGCAGCAAGGTTCTTTCTCTAATGAATGCAGAGGAAAAATAGGATACAGTTAAGAATATTCAGGTTTCTGTCCTCTGAGAGCTTGCTCTTGGGGAAGATGGAACTAGATACAATTTAACTGTTGTTCAAGGTCCAAGAAATTAGCTCAAAGGAAAGGATGGTTCATCTGGACCTAAGGAACAGGGAAGGCTTCCTGGAATCATCTATTTGCCTCTTCCCCTACCTCTCCCAAGTATGCCTCACCTCTGCTGTCCAGGTGTGCTGCGACAAATTTAGAAACATATGAGTGTGGCACCAACTGGGAAGGCTGAGGTAAAAGCTGAGTCAGCTCAGTCTACCCAGGTGAACTTTGCACCTTTTTCATTTTCATAAGTACAAGCACTTGCATTGCACTTAATATATAGTGCAGCCACATTGAGCTACTATGACAATGGCTGCTTCTGCCCCAGAGCCCACCCCAGGCATGGAGCTAAAGACCCCAGCCACTGGAGGTCTTAGCACTAACTCTGTCCCCACAGCTACCATGTCCACACAGAGACTTCGGAATGAGGACTATGCTGACTACAGCTCCACTGACGTGAGTCCGGATGAGAGCCCATCTGAAGGTCTGAACAACTTCTCTTCTTCAGGCTCCTACCAGCGCTTTGGGGAAAGCAGCAGCACAACGTAAGTAACTGTTCCTTCTGTCTTCCTGGGGGAGATCATGGCCCTCAGTTTTGTATCAGTAATATAGTCTCCCTTGGAGTTATTTTTGCTTCCCATCTTACCAGTTCCCCCACTTTATAGATGAAAGTAAGAAGTTGGGCAGTTAACTGTCACTCTGTAGTCTATTTCTTATTCTTTGTTCATTACAGCTGTATTGGTCCTAGAAGACTAAGAGCATAAACATAAGGAAAACTTGTAGAAAGAACATTCTCTTAATTTAGAACTATGGGTCTTCTGTGCTAGAACCTCAAGTACCTCCGAGCCCAATTGGAAGCCTCCTTTGCAAAGTCTCCTCCAGACTTCTGTCCCTGTCACCAAACAGCCAATTCATCTGGCTGAAGAAGTAGGAAAAGGGAAGAATAACTTCTCCTGCACTTAAAAAAAATCAAGGGGTTTATAGAGAAGAGGAGATCTGCTTTTCATTTCTAAGAAGGGCTTAGGTTTCATCCCTGGAAACTGAATCCCATCTCATCTGGGCTGAGTTTGGTCCTCTTTGGGCCTCAGTTCCCCCAAATGTAAGATAAAATTGAGGACCTCACTGTGAAGCTATGCTCACTGTTTGGTGTTCTCCACTCCAATTAGAAAATTCAGAGGAGCATCTATTCCATTAAATTCTCCAAGTAGATCCTCAACCTCAGCAGACCCCTGTCATTTTCTTGGGATCCCAGCATCCCATCTTTTGCCATCCTTCTGTTTATTCCTCAAGCTTAGCCATCACCCTTTTTGTGTTCCTTTATGGATTAAGTATGACTTACTGAGGCAGCCTTTGTATCCTATATTTATTCTATCTCCTGTGACTGCCCAGGGAGACCATAGAAGTTTCTCTTGGAAGCCATTACTAGTGAAGCCCTTCTGACTGCAGTCTTTCCTGGTGTAGGGCTCTTTCTGCAGCGAACTGGATAGAACTAGAGGATCTCCACCACTAGCTGATTTCAGCTCTGGAAGCTTCAGTCTCTACAGCTTCTTTAATGTGATATATTCCCATTCCCCCCC